TTTTGAATATTTTTTCATAGATTTAGATCTTTATTGTTATACTCCTCTAGATAAAGAGAATTATTAGAGTGTAACAGAGGGATTATCCTTAGACCATTGCGATTGTCAAATGTGTTTTTATATCTGTATGAAAGGGTGTGAATGTAGAACAATTTTTAAACAACTAGATCTAGATCTACAAGTAGAACTTTCTATAGGCAAAAAAAATAAAGTCGTACTATTTTTCACAGTGAATATAAATTCTAAAGGCCTTTTAAAAGTGTAAGTGTGCATGCCTATTTAGAGGAGATGTATGATACGGACTCTTGGGTTAGAAAAGAGAAAAGGAAAAAAAAACATAGAATTTGAGGGCTAGAACAGTGTGATGCGGGTCGTTTTATATGGATGGGTTTAAGACTGTTCCGGGCAAAATAAATAGTCGATATCCAAACAGAGGTATATTAAGCCAGACCTACGTAGTATTAACCGAGTTAAACATTCACGATTTTCCAGTTCCTGGATAACACTAACACTATTCTAATTAAAATATTGTAGACTGTTTAGGCATTTTAATTAGTGATTTTAAAATATATTTATACTTAATTCTTGAAACTGTTCCAAAGCTACATCAATAATTACATTATATTCTAACAATATAAATTCATTTTTCTGGTATACAACTAAAGAAAAGACTCATTCCCACGTTTTACATGTTCAATAGCTAATAAAAGAGGTGCCCTACAAAGATTTTTGGCATCTAGATCTACAACATTCATGGGCGTAGCCAAGGCAGGAGGAGGTTTCGGGCTTTCACCCCTTCCCGAATTAAAATCCCCACCCACACTAATGGAGGCTTTAGTTTTGCGTTAGTATTTTTAAAAAATTCTGCATTCCTCATTAATCTTCGGACTCGATGATAAGACTTATTATTATTAGTAGTATATTAAAAAATAAAGCAAAAATACAATAACCAAACTCCATGATCGTAGTATAGTAAGGTTTGGAAATTATAACTTTCATTCAAATAAAAAAAATGAATGCTTTAGTTTTACTTTATTTTTTAGGGTTTGAGGATGAACCTACCTTGCGCCTCCCTCGTCCAAACCAGTGTAGCAAAGGAAATTTTGAGCTTAAAACCGGGTTGGGGGATGTAGGGGATATCAAAACGCCCTTCAAGATAAAAACAAAACAAAACTACATTATCAAATTTCCATAACCGTAGTTTAGATTGATACTGATGTTTAAAGCTCCTTCCAATAAAAAAATAATAAAGTAAAACTACGTCCCAATTCTCTTAGCCATGGGTTCAAAGGGTTTACTCCCTACCCATCTCCTAGAAAATGCTAAAGCCAAACTACAATGAAAGTTCATTATTGGGCTCCATTAATAGAGAGTCTAAAAAACAACAACAATTCAGGTAACATCCTGACATAAAACAAAGAAAAATACTGAGTCATAAATTAGAACTTCAAGTCTAGTGTTAGATCTAGATGTCCATAAAATGAAAATACCAATAAATAATCACACAATTATGCCTTCCTCGCTGGCCGAATCAGAAAATGCGTCAGTACCAGCAGTTAAAGGTGTCACGGGGTCGATAACGGAGTTAAACCACAAAAGAAAAAAAAAAAATTATTTTATTATATTTGAAGTTTCATAATGGAGGTTTAAAAAAATCTTTTAAAAATGTTTTTACATGTTTAAATCAGTTCCCATGCCGGTCTAAGTTTATCATATTTTTAGCGGCCCCCGAAAGGGGAAAAGACGCTTTAGTTTTGTGTGAAATGTCTGTCCATCCGTCCCGTTTAGATTTCGTAAACTAGAAAAGATAGTGAAAATCCGACATCACAATATTTTAGAACATTCAAAGTTCTGATGCAACGGCTACTTTTTTTCTTTTCTGAAAGCGAAAAATCTAATTTTTTTAATCACTTATTCGAGCAGTTTTCTCATAAAAATACACCACTTTTACAACTATAAACTATTAAACTATTAAACACTCAAACACTAGATAACCACCGATGACAGACTGGGCGGTACTCCATACTTGTAACACATTTATGCAAACAGTTGTAGATTTTTTGTCAAAAATTTTTGTTTTTAGATTTGTATTGTTAAGTTATGTAAGTTCTGTTATACTGTGTAGTATTTTTTTAAAAAGAAAAATTTATTTAGTATAGATTATATATATATAAGTTAGACCTAATTTAAAACGAATAGTAATCTTGTTAACTGCATTTTCTTGTCCCTTCCTTTTTACGTTTTTTTTTTTTTTTTTTTTTTTTTTTTTTTTTAGGATTCGAATAAGAGATTGATCCTTTTCAAAACAATTACATCAATTGTAAGACTTCAGTTAGTCCAGGGGAGGCGAGGTAGCTGAGCGGTAAAGCGCTTGGCTTCCGAACCGGGGATACCGGGTTCGAATCCTGGTGAAGACTGAAATTTTAAACTTCGGAATCCTTGGGCACCTCTGAGTCCACCCAGCTCTAATTGGTACCTGACATTAGTTGGGGAAAAGTAAAGGCGGTTGGTCGTTGTGTTGGCTACATGACACCCTCGTTAACCGTAGGCCACAAGGTCTGAAGGGGGAACTAGTTAGACCAGGTTCACATCTAACTTTACATTCACTTGCACCTATCCTTTGATCTGCCGGACCGTTGGGGCACTACACAAGATCTGTCAACCTTCTTTCTCCATTCTTATCTCTCATTTGTCTTTGATATAATTTCATTCGGATGTTCTTTCTGAAAATATTGAAGCCTCCCTGGGTGGACCACTTCGGGGGCCGATTTTGAGTTTGTGTTTCCACACAAACTGTCTTTGCAACCTTGTTATTACTTGTAATGCAAAATTGCACAATCATCTTATTGCATTAACAACTCAGCTAAAAATTTTACACAAATCTTTATGTCTATTGAATGATTGTCTATTGAATGAATGTCTATTTAATGAATGTCTATTGAATGAATGTCTATTTAATGAATGTCTATTTAATGAATGTCTATTTAATGAATGTCTATTTAATGAATGTCTATTTAATGAATGTCTATTTAATGAATGTCTATTTGCGTGTTTTCCTTTACAGTCGTGTTTAAAATAGAAAGGAGCAAATTTAATTTTAAGATTATTATATTTTGAAAACGTATAAACAGTCAAATCAGAATTTTCAGTCAGTGTCCAATTAGGCATTTATGTTTTCTGAATAGGTATACATAATCTGTAAAAGTATAGGAAATTGTTTAGCCTATTTCAAAATTTTAGGAGAAACTGTAAAATTAGTTAGCATTGCGTGTGACTGCAATGCCTTGCAATTTTGAAAAGATTTGAAAATAAGTTCCGGCGATGACATTGATTGCCATTAATTTTTTTTTTTCACTGAGACAAATATTGCCAGTGAAAGAGTATTTCTTGTGGAGTGACTGTTGATAGGTTTATAGTGATAGTGCTGTGTGTATTTATAATTTAATATATATATATATATATGTATATATATATATATATATATATGTGTGTGTGTGTGTGTGTATCAGGAAGGACAAGGGTTCTGTCCCGGTTTCTAGAAGAATAAGCACGATTGTTTTCTTTGTGCCGTCGTCTAAGTGTTAGTGTTCATCCTTCTAAGTCAATAGCCACAACTCTCAGGACTAGGCTTTAGTCAGAAATTTTCCTACATTTTCCTAAAGAACAAGCCACCTTGATTGTCAAACTGACAATGGGCTACTTAAGCTACCGTTATATGAGTTAACAGTCGTTTCATGAGTGTTTTGACATTGTGTGTATCTTGACTGCAGCTATTTGTAATTTGAATATTTGAAGTTGCTCCAACTAGAACTTTAAGTAGTCATTGTGTTTTATCATTAAGTCAAGTTTCAAGCTCAAGTGTTTTAATTATTAAATTGCATTGAACATTTTTTAACAGGATTTCACATGACCGTATTTTGTCAAATCGAACCGAACCTGAACACGAGTTTCAAAATGTTACCGAACCGAACCATACTCGTTATCAAACTTAAATCTAACCGCAACAAAAGCGAATCCGAACTTCATAAAATGGTTTCGATTCCCGCATTAGAGATCTATCGACGGCTAAAACCTTAAATGAAAATCATTTCAAGCTATGGCAATTTAACCTCAATTTTTTTTGTTTAATCTCACACAGTATGATTTTTTTTTATACACAAGCATAGACTCTTCTTTAAGAACAGATTCTAGATCTAGGTGTTTCTATTTGTAACTGTTCTAGATTACTTAAGTAATAAACTTCAACAAGAGGTGTTAGCCAACCAAATAAACCTCTTCCTTGGTCCGCATTTTATTTCGACGCTGCTTTATGCAGAAACATTCTAACATGATTTAAATGTAATAAAAAAATAAATAAATCCCCCACTCCGATGATTCCTAAACCGTAATGAATGTACATTATACAACTCGTAAAGGGGAGCATATCCGGCTTTACAATGATGCCTTCGTTTCTTAGGTCAACCTATATACTTCTAAATCGATATGCTCCCCCCCCCCCCCCCCAACCTGCATGCGAAGAAGTTAACCAGTGTTTCATCATGATTTTTTGTAGGTTATTCCAAGCTAGTGCGATCCCTGGTATTTCCTTATTCTATTTATAGCTCTTTTTTTTTCTTTTTCCGAAAAGTAAAAGACATTTGTATAGCATGCGTTTGTGTTTGTCAAATCGTGTCTTGCATGTATTCAAAGATATCTCTCAATAGCCTAGAACTTTATTTCCAATGACATAATAGTTAAGAGGCTACTTTTTTTTTAAACATAAGACATCACATTCAGCAACATTCATCTCCTTAGCATTGAACTTAGGTTTGACTTCCGAGTACCGGATCTGTTTGTTTAATGATTTTAAAATGTCAATATCAGTATTTTCTTTTCTTTGACTTTCATTGCCCCATTGCTTTTTTCAAATTAACATTTTTCTTTATCTTTGTAAAAAAAAAAAATAGGTTGATCTATTGGTACCGTCTAATGTAATTTGTATTTTGTCGTCTTAAATTCAGGTATTTTTATTTAATAACCGGTGCTATCTGATACTGTATTTTGTATCTGTTGATGTATTGCTTGGTTCACGGACAATCAGAGAGAAGTTCATGTCAATAGTCCTCTGTAGGGTTACCAGACAACTACAAACCAAAAAGGAGAAAAAAGAATTTCGGAGGAGGACCAAAAAGAAAGACAAAAGGAAACTTTAAACAACTGACAGAATGTAATCGAGACCATTCGTTAGAGACGTCGTACAGACCTGTGACGAGTGGCAACGAGTTATCGGTCTAAAATGCCCACAGGTTCAGTGGCGTAGCATCCATGACGCGAAGGGGTTCAATGAACCCGGGCCCACGACCATTAGGGGCCCACAGTCTGTGGCGTTCCAACAATGGCGCTAAGGGATTGCTTGCTTTTGGGCCCATAACTCTTGACCAGTTGGGGCCCACGTGAGAACTTAGGAATGACACTAAAGGAAAAAAAATAATTGCACTTTTGTAAAGTGTGTTATAGAATAGAATCTGAAAAGCTCCTTTAAAATATCCTAAACGTTGCAAGAACCTTCATATTAATTTTAAAACATTGACCCGTGTTTAAAGTTATAGTGTATGTACCAGCGGCTTGGATTGCTTAAATGTAAGGAACTTCTTTCCATTTGGTTTATTGTGACTAGCCCTAATTGTACATTTGAGGGGACTATTACACTAATGCCAGATTGTTCCATTCTTTTTTTTCCATGTATCTCCATAAACCATTGATAGTATTAGTATTAACGGGGAGGGAAGAGAGAGAGAGAGAGAGTTTGGTTTAAAAAATATAAATGTGTTGCACATAAAAAAAAGGAAAAGGGCGGGGTAACAATAACAATTAGGTCTATAAGGATAGTCCTGATGGTCACAAATTAATATTTCGAAACATCTGATAATTATTCAATTTTCTCAAAGCTTAATCTGTTTCTTTTATTTATTGTATTTAAATTATTTAAATAGTTTCACGTACAGGGTGCATTACTATAGCGTACATAAGGTTCATCCTATCATACAAAGTAGTTTCCGACAAATAGCGTAAGTCTTCATATTGTTTTGTTGTCCTCTGTATTGAGTACACAATGTTTACAACAGAATAAAAAAAAAGGAGATACACTCTTAACAAATAAAAAAAAAGTATCATCAAATATCAAGCAAGCAAAAGAAACAACAAAGCTTGTTACATAGGCTTCGTGCTTGTGGTACTATTCTGAATGGCGAAACCGAAATGGAAAACAGGCTTATAACAAAGGTCCAGAAGATAGAGAGGATTAAATTGATCATGGAATTGTGTCCTACTTTGACCAATGCTTATTATTTCCTTGGTTCATAGTTCTTAAATAAAGCTAATACCGTTGTATTTAAACAAAAATCTCTAATTAGGCTTTATATGAAATTGCTATGAAATCTGACAGGAAAACAAAAGCCCCACAGATTCAAAACGAAATAATGGACCTGTTAGGCGATGCAGTTCAGATAAAAATACCGGTACTATAAGAGGTCATATCCACGCCCTTTCCTCTTTCATTGCACTCAAGACATATCAAAGTTGATCAAATCAGCTCCAAGTAATGAATAATGCACCTGGTTACATGCGGCTTCAGAACGAGACAGCTGAAGGTCACTTACAAAGGCTTGGGATACATATTTGAAACCATAAGAAAATCCGCTACCGCGGACAGACGTGGGCCATCGGCGGACAATGGTTATGTCTACTCTGGATGTGGCAAAATATGTAGGCCACAGCTGGGGCTGCGTAGCCACAAGGAATAGTGCACTCCTCATTAATCTTTGCACTATCAATCACTTGACCTATTTCATTGCCATAAAATATTGTTATCGTGTTTAAGTCGTTAATGCCCTGTTTCGTTTCAAGTGCAAACGACAAGGGGCTGTATGATGCCACTATTCCTCGAATTGCATTTGACCCAGATTGCTATAGAATATTGTTGAAATATGCACTCCTTGAATGAAACCTTTCATAACGACATATCAAGTCTGTGTACGAGATTTTCGTGTTTGTTTTCTTGTATTATTATCAACTACATGAGATTTGACTTTTTAAAAAAAATCAAGACATCTACATTTTATCACCTAGTTTTCTAAACTATGTCCCAGCATCTATCATATTTCTCACTTGTGTCTGTATCAATTTGTTCAGCTTTGCGGTTATTTTCAAAATTTCTATTGATCAAAAAAAAAGTTTAAAAATTACTATCACACAGAGCAGGTTGGCTTCGCTTAGTGTTCCTTCCATTGAGCGAGAAACAGCTAAAAGTTCAGAAATAGATGCACTGGTTACTGACTTTGTAGGCCAGAAAAATGTTCGATCTAGATCTATATACAGTCAGATGATGGAAGTAGAATTAGATCATAGTTTGCATCAATGCTAAATTTTTTTTTACATAGAAGTGTTATAGAAATGTAAATGTGTAGAATGTAGAACCTATAAAACATTTCTTTATTCCATTGAAACATCTTTAAGTCATTTAATTCTGTTAAGACATTGTACAAAGGTTGACTTTAAAGACACTATTACTTGTTGGAGTCCGAACTGAATCAGAAAATAAAACTTCACGACATTTGAGGAATAGAAAATAAAACTTCACGAAATTTGAGGATCTCTGAGTAACAAGTTTGATTAGAACAGCTCTCATACTGAATGCACTGTTCTTGAAGAGGCTTCACAAAAAAAAAAAATATCTTATTTTTAGCAAATAATTAGTAAAAAAAAAATAATAAAGTTCATCTTTCAGATCTTGCAGTCTGTGGGCAGATGATGATCATCTGTTTCTGTGGCCCAAGGTTAGCGAGGGTGTCATGTTGCCAGCACAATGATCACGCACCTTTAATTTTCCCCAACTAATGTCAGGTACCCTTTAGAGCTGGTTGGACTCAGAAGTCAAGCGCAAATAATTAAATAACTTCATATCGCAGTACTGCTCAAGCAGTTGAACATCTTTGACATTAATACTTCTTTTCTTTAGGTACTGTAGACATGACAAGAGATCATTGAATGGAGAATCTTTAATGTATTTAGAAACATCCAGCGAGAGTAGTGGAGTTTCTCAACGGGTGCCTTCTATATTTTTTATTTGCCATCGCTGTAAACAACATGTAAAAAAAAACATACATTTTTATACTTTAGGCTAATGCCGGCCGAAAATAAGGACACGATTCAAAAAAGAAGGACATGGCCCCCTTTTGGCGGACGTCATGTGACCCTATCCGTGTGTTTTTTTGTTTGTTTTTTTTTGCAAGACAAATTCAAACTCTAGCATTGATACATACGAGACTATAAAAGAATGACCGCATCCACCAAAGATGAATGTCCTACGCCAGTGTTTCCCCAACTGTGTTCCGCGGAACCCTAGTGTTCCGCTAGGCCTGAATAGATACTAACTAGTAGGCCACCACATGAATGAATCCTACCGTGTTCGTTGTAACTAAATAATCCACACTCTATTAGAATTCGTAAAAGTAAAGTTTCCTTTCAGACCTTGTGGTCTATAGGGCAGATGTCAGATGATGTAAAGGGCGTCTGTTTCTGTGGCCTACGGTTAACGAGGGTGTCACAACGACCAACTGCCTTTACTTTTCCCCAACAAATGTCAGGTAGTTATAGTGGTGCGCATCTAGAGTAGCTTCTTGTGTGAGGTCTCTTTTGTGCTTTATAATGGTTTGTGCGCTCTAGTTCCTAGGGTCGTGCTTTGTTGATGTCATTGCCTTTTTGCCTCTGTTGTGCTGATGATCTTTTGCTGGAGTTTTCTTTAGTGTTTTCTTCCCCAGTATTGGGTAAGTTAGTGTATTTTACTTTATTCTTCGTGGTGTAGCTTAAATTCGTTGGTCATATGATCTTGTGAATGGCGATCTCAAGGATGCGTATTTTTCTTGTTTAGGGACGCAGGCTTGGGACTCTGTTAGGGTCATGTTTGCTCGGTTGGATGCGTGACTTGGCTATCACCCTTATCATTGACTTGTGGCCTTCGTGAGGCCAATTCGAGCTGTGCATTGTTTATAAGGTGCGCTATATCTTATTTTAATAATATGTGTGGCTTGTATTTGCTTTGAAATACCATTAACTATCATCATTCAAGTCATAATATTCATTCATTCATTAAATTGTTGAACATTGTTGTTGTTGACTAATGTAAGTTAACTTATCGTTCTCATTACTAGTGTTCGTGTTGAACAACTGTTGTTCAGTTGAATGAAATTTAGTCGGTGTTTTCTTAGCCATAGTTTTAAATATTATTACACTTTGCTTTGATTTATATTGTATAGGTGTGGAGGGACTCGGGGATTCCAGGCACTTATGTTTACTTCTAGATCAACGAGCTGGAAAACCCACCTGACTGAATTGAGGGCTATGGGGAAATGAGTATATAAATCTTAACCTTGTGACCTTTGTGTCCTTGCTTTGACCCATAGGGCCAACATAGGATATATAACATATATGTAATGTTCATTTATTAAATATAAATAAATATAATTAAATAAATAAGCCCTAACGGTATAATTGTTAACACTTCAGCGGTCTGATGTTGTGGAGTACCGCAAATTATACAAATAGATCTAATATTAAAGACAGAATATTAGAAAATGTATAGGGGGAAGTCTATCGGCAAAATGTTCTCAATAAGCAAAATACCGTGGAGAACATGTTAGACATCATAGAGGGATTCAAGGTCGCGAATTCGGGGGCGTCGCTTACCAAAGAAGAAAGCGTATATGTCGTGGCGGGGTGTAGCGAAGCAGTTAGCCGGTCGTTGAAAGAAAAGTCATTGAATGCTTCGGAAGTGGCATGAAAGGCCACAAAACAGTTGAATGCCCTCAACGTTCGCCGGTAGTTATTGCCACCCGTGTTGCTGATGGTAGGTCTAAAAAAGTACCCGCAATCCCTGCGAGCTCTCACCAAAATAGAAATGTTTCGTTGCGGCGCTATCGGAGGCAGTTTGACGGTAGTGGGCGCATCCGCGACACGAGCACGAGACGACAAAGTTATGAAACAGAGTGGCGTCCTCCTGATAACTGATACGGAAGGTCAGGCGGTGCAGGGGCGTACACACCGAGACCCAACTATAATAACAGAGCATTTGGCCCACCTATTAGGTACAGATGACTGAGTGGTCCCTATGATGTGCAAAACTGTTGTAATTGTTCCTTGGGAAAGGGACTTGATTGTTTTCCCCTTGTAAAAAAGAAATATTGTCTTATCTGGGTAAATCTTTGCGTGATAGATCGGTAGGCAAGTTAAAGTTTGAAAGTGGTAGAGTAATTGGTATAGTTGTGTCTTTGCTGAAAGATTCTGGTTCAAGCGTGATAGGTATTAGAAGTTCGTTAGTTGGCAAGAAAGATATGATCCCTGAAAGTTATAGGTTGAAAGTGGTTGATGGGACTGTTTGAGATTACCCGGTAGCGTGCGTTTACATTGAGGTTGAATATATTGTTGGTAAATTTGTAATAGCATGTTTTAGGGATCCAGTGGCAGACTTAATTCTTGGAAATATAGATTGGAACGATGGCAGTCAATTTCGTTGGGCGATAAAAGTGAAAGAAAATGATGACAGTGTTATGAATGACAGTGGAGTGTTGGAAAATTGTCGTGATCTTCTAGGTACGAGCGATGACTTTTTACGTGAGCAATTGAGTGACCCGTCATTGAAAGATCTTTGGGAGCGGCAGAGAGATAACTGTGTTGAATATAAGAAGAAGGGATGTGTAAAATTGTGCAAAATTTCAGCTTGATCCGAGATTGGGTGTCGGAAACAAAAACATGTGCACAATTTTTTTAC